ACGTGAAAGCGTGCAACGGAAATTCGTACGCTTTGTTCTTGAGAACGTAGTTCCAAGAATCCACGAAGTCCAAGTTAGCGCAACTACCACTTCGCCAATTTTAATTTTCATTGAACAATCATCGGACACAATCTTCTCGGAAACAAGACTGCCGCTTGCCGCGCCCCCTTGTGCTTCAAGCGCACAGACTTTCGTGATTGCCCGTGCTCGCAACGAAGATTCCCACTTTCAATTTCAACGGACGCGCGGAGGAGAAGAGAATAACGTTGGCCATTTAATTGAAAGCACTTTATCGTCCGGGCCAGGACTCCGATACGGTCCGGTAGACGGTAGAAAAACGGGAGTGGAAGAAAATCCACGGTTCGGCCCTGGATCGCGCGCGGGTGCGGCCGCTAAAATTAAACGGGGGACCCAACGGACCGCGCACCTTCGATGCAGAACGAGAACAGGACGCGAGAGAGAGCAAACGAACGTTGAACCCCGCGGGTAGTACTTCGGGGAAGCTCTCTTATCGTCCACGTTCCGCCCTGTCCCCCGTGTTTATCTACCTGTGAACTTGCTCCGGTGGGTTCGAACGATAAGGGAAGGTGAACACCGTTGCGCGTACACACACACGCACGCTTTCTCACCCAGGTGCGTTATTAACATATTCGGGACCGGTAACGTAGTTCTACGTCATCTTAGATTCTTCAGCTGAAGACTGATAACGTAGTTCTATTAGTACTAGATAGTTATTCTTAAATCTTTTATAAAACAATGTCTGTAGCGTAGCCTTACGTCATTTCTAACTTTTTTAGAACAATGCCTGTAACGTGGTCATTTGACATTCCTATTTTTCTCCTAGAACAAGTACCTGTTACATAGTCCTACGTCGTTTGACAGTTTCTAAAAAAATGACAGTGACTTAATTTTACGTCATTTCAAAGCATGTAGCTTGTAACATAGTCCTATTATATATTTTTCATCTTTGCAGACCCTTGTGGTATTCATCTATAGGCTTTGAGAAATTGTATGCGCACGTAAATGTGTTAATATTCGTGCTATTCAAAGCACAAGAGTAAAATGGTTCTTTCGCTGTGTGCTTCGTACAATAGCCGACCATAATTTAATGACTACCCAAATGGTACAGAGACCAAATAGGTCACTATATATTTATAGTTCTGATTTTATTACGTGTAATCATATAGACGAATAGCAAATTAAAAATTGAAAATGAGGTAAAAGCTGACCAATTAGACCTGCATTCCTCAGTTTAGCCATCAGGTCATGGACGGATGATACTCTAAGTATAAGCATCGCGTGATTGATTAGTATATATGAGCGTTTCAGCAAATAGCGTGCTAGAGCAAAAAATGTGTGAGAGAAGAGACGTGTCATTTTCTATTCTGATCACTTACAGTTGTTAGAGCCATATTCCTTCCGTGAGACATCTCTGGTGCTCTGCACGGTACACCTCTTCGCGCGACTAATCGTCGTTCATTCTTTCCTTTTTACTTTTCTTCCTTTCCTGCCTACGTTACCGACGTCGTTATTCAAATTCGGGATATTTTATCAGACGAGCGGACGATTGTTCGGCGAAACGTTAACAGCGGCCGGGTTTCGGTGAAACAACGCCACGGAGAGCTCGGATAACGATCGCCGTAACGACCAAACTTGCGCGTGAATAAAATAATCGGTTGCCCTATCCAGTGACGCGTTAAAATCTCCATCGCCATCCCCTATTCCCGTTCCAACATCCTCAAGCTATGTACATCGACGTACGAAGTGTTTCAGAAATAAATGGCAAATCCTTGGCGGCTTGTATTGGTTGTTTCGTTATTGCCTAATAAATTTTAGTATCCGGTTTACGATATGTGTGCCGTTTTATGTGTGCGCACCGGGTACGCGTACCATTTAGGTAAGTAGTAGACATATATAATATCAAGTTGCAAAGGTTAATATTCAAAATAAATTTGTTTATATTTTGATTCAATGAATTCTTCAAGTAATGCGACTTTCAGATTGACAGTGGATAAAAATTGGGGATGGCCGAATGTCTGTTCATCGCTGGCAATTCATAACAACGGAAACTCATTTTTAAACGAGACTGTGTCCAGCGGTGAAAAATGATTACAACAATGGGAAAAGAACTGAAAAATGGGTGGAGGTTAATCGAATCCTCGAACACATGACAAAACCATCACTGTGAACGGAAAAGATTCTCGTGATCGATAAAGGTTGGTCTGATAAGGATGTAAACTATTGTTCCCTTTT